ATTTAAGAGGACATCAGAAACATGCCAGCATGTATGGTGGGAAAAGAGGATGCCTACTTGCTCCAATCTATGTTGCTCTACAACTGTTCCTGCATGCTTCATGTGAACTTTTTACATAAATTTTTTTAACCATACAGATGTCAAGTTTAACATAATTTCACACTGGCATAGAAACTTGGTGAAGCAATAGAATTTCTACTATTGACAATAACTTTGTGCTGACAGAGAAATCTGAACCATAGCATGAGAAGCTGCATTCCCTTTTCAATGGCAAGGGCCTTGCAAGAAGGGGAGGGAAAGCCAGTCAGCCCATAGAACACTGCTCTCAACTGACCAAAAAAACCTGTTGTCTGTGACACTGGTTCGGGTCCTTCGTTGCACACAGAGGCTGAGATCCAGGGGCTCGCTGCTTCCAGACCAGGTGAAATAGAACGTCCCCGAGTTGAGCACCTTTCTCACTTCCGACACCCTCTCGTCGTCTCCCACGGCTCCTCTCAGGGACACGAATTGCGTCTGTGTGATTCGGAAAACCTCAGAGTCTCTTATCTTCCCCACCGAGCTGCATGCTGTCACCAGAACCAGGTACAGCACTTCTCCCTCAGCTGGCAAGTACACAATACATTCATGAGTTTTGGCCTGCACAGAACACTACAGTGTAACATCATGTGAAGAAGACCGAGTCCGATGCACCAAACAAGTTGAGATGGAGTTGTCTACATCAGCCATAAATATTCTGCTAATACATCTAATGATTTACAGAATAATCTTTAAACTCCACTCACTGGCAGTTGTGGAAGACTTTCCGAACTTCAGCACTCCAAGACAGCTGTAGGCATCTGCCAACCGTGAATATTGCTTTCTGATGGCCTCTGTCTGCAACTCGGCTGGACGAAAACAGTTTGGGACAATGTGAAAATAGAGTAAAGGTCGCCTGCATAGAACTTGTCCTATATCTAATATTTTACGCTATATATGCTTATGATAAGCAACGCGTGGCATTAGCAATAACGTTAAGTCTAGGTTGACCTAGATCGTAACTGAAAGGTCTCAATTGACGAAACCTACTCGATGAATAAAGAAAGAACCAACTCACTGAGAACAGCGACAGCCCCGGAATCGAATAAAAGGGTATCTTTCTTGGTCCTGTCCTCTAAGATGACACTATAGGGAGATTCGGGTAAAGCCTTTGCAAGGACCCGGAGGTTCTTGCCCAT